TACACTGCGACTCCATTACCTATTGATTTTTCCCCCTCAGAAATGCCCAGCAAGGTCAGAGAATCCTTTGATGTCCTCAGCTGTCTCCACTCCTTCTCGCTTTCTATTATCTCGTTCCTCTGCTCTCCGTGCCTTCTTTCTTGTTAGTCTCTTCTCCCAGGCCTTCTCCACACTCTGTCAATCATGCACCATGACCGAGCTTACCTGTATCGAAAGTTATTCTGTTCTTGGAGGAACCAAGGAAGGAAAGAAAAGGGCGGATGTGTGTGTGTGTGTGTGTGTGTCTCGGGGCAAGGCTGTAGGGGTTTGAGGGTAAAGAGGTGGATAAGTGAACGCAGCAGAGCACAGGATCCTGAATACAAACCAGATATTAATCCTGAAGCCACAGGGGGAATGAAAGCAAACAACAATATTATATGTGTTTAAATATATGTTTTTACTTTCACCAAGATTATGTAAAGACTAATTTTCATTTCCAACATACAACACTTTGTTTTACCTTTCAGAGTGTGAGAATAGTAAAATTATCTCTCCATTATCTTTCAATAAAGTTGAGTGATTCAAATCTAGAAATGAAACTAATGTATTGCACAAAATTACAAACTTTTTCTGTTTAATTTTAGCTTTGTTAGCTTAGAGTTAACAAAATGGCAAAACTGTTTTCTCAGAACTTTAAAATGTTATATAAAAAAAACAGTAAAATAAAGAATTTGCCATCCAAAAATGTTATATTTTGACCTGTCCAATCATCTGGATGACTGCTAATTCCACAGGTGTCCAGCAGACACTCCTCACACCCTCCTTAATGGGGATAAGTCACAAAAGTTTATTTAGAAGGAAGCTGTCTGCTCTCATTGCTGTTTCTAAGCCCATTACTGGAAGGTTTAGGGGAAGGAAAATGGTTGGTATACAATGCTGTACAAGCAACTGGGGTTACTGCTGTCTCCAGAGTATTGAGATTAATGTCCCAGGGCCTGCAAGTAGAACAGGAAGGCACAGAATCCAAGTTGGTCCATTGTTAAGTTTCAACAGTCTGTGATGATTTGGGGAGCCATGTTATCCGCTGATATTGCTCTGATATTATCAAGTCCAAAGTCAGCTGCTTTTCCTCCCATCTTTTGGCAAGTTTGACAAAGATAGTGATTTTATTTTCCTTTAGAACTTGGTACCCAAACTGCCCTAAGTACCAGTACCTGGTTAGTGACCATTAACAGCAAAATGATTGGACTAAGCTCAATGGAAAATCTACGGATTTCTGACAAGAGGAAGATGAGTGACACCAGGTCCAATAATGCAGGTTAGCTAAATCAACTATTAAAGAGGTAGATATATTTGTTTTCCAGGCACGTAGTAACATTTTATAGCATAATGAAGTAACTGTGCTACCTTCAGTTGTTATAAAAAATGCTACAGATGTATCGAACATGACTTAAAAGAGAACTGACTTTGCAATTTAACACCTTGTAATTAGCTTCTGTTTCTTTAAGAAGCTCCTGCTCTTTCTGACACTCCGCCTTAAATACGTCATCACAATAACCTCCGTTCTTCATTAACCCTGTAACATTACAAGTAGCTGCTATTTTAATTTGAATGGTGTAATAAACTAACTTCTTCTAATGCCTCGATAAACACCTGTACAGTATAGTGTTTTTATTTATGTGGGATATAGATATAAATACCAAACAAAAGCTGTGGATTTTGACTTAAAGTTGTTTCAGTCGAAGAAGCTTAAAGGCATTTTCAGTAGCAAGCCGTAAAACAGAGAGACAATGGACAGGCTTATCTGTTTGTTTCTCTGCCTCTATGTTTGCATGTGTGTGTGTGTGTGTGTGTGTGTGTGTGTGTGTGTGTGTGTGTGTGTGTGTGTGTGTGCGTGCGCGCGTGCATGCAGGTGTGTGTCCACCAACGGTGTGCTTTATTGTGAAACTGCCATGCTTTTCTGTTAGTGATAGTCTTTCCTCAAGGAACGAGCTCAACTGCTAACCTCATTCGTTTTCATTCGTGCTGCTTTGCTGAACATTGGAGCAAAGTTTGGAAGCAGTCCAACACTCTGTCTGATTTTTGTAAACAACTTCTAAAAAAAAAAAAGGGTGAGCGAAATGGAGGAATATTTGGCATCAGTAAAGCAGAAACTGCACAAAGGTTTATGAGCAAGGTGGAACAGAACTGATTGTCGGTAATATCAGGGTAGACAGCAGTGTTTACATCCAAAGTTCAGGACTATTGAACCAGTAAACTTTCATAGAATAAAAGTCAAAAGCTAATAAGTTTTTATCTTTGGCATGTCTTCTACCCTCTGCTTTCTCCATGTAATTAATTTTTTAACTTCCTGCTCTCAAAACTCCTTGGCTCAGGCTATAAATGGCTAAAAAGCCACAAAATACAGCTAAGCACATTAAGTTTATCCTTCCGATGGGCTCTGCGTCTCCCACCCACAGCTTTCCACTCATGAGTTTGCCCTTCGTTTGACTTTTGAGCTAATTTGAAGCGCAAACATTGACTGAGATGAATCGTAGCCAGCAGTTAAAGCGGTAATGAGGATTCAGATGAGGGAGGAAGTGACTGACGAAGCTTCTTGCAGAAAACACTTCTTTTAGCAAAGCTCGCAGAGCACCAAAAATAGAGAGAGACAAACTTGTGTGAAAGCAAAGTAGAAACTTTCAATCTTAGCTGACAAGTACACAATGAAATTCTCAGGAAAAAAAAAAAAAAAAAAAAACATTGAAATACAGCAGATGTTATATAAATGCAGATAGAGAATAAAAAATGATGTTTATTTTTATTTTTTTTGCTAAATTAATTTTTACCTCAGTCTTCTGCAGCGGCGAGTATTTTTATTATCATTATTTTATTTTGGCTTCTTCTGCAGCCCTGAAGCTTGTCTATTTTTCTTCCTTTGGCTCTAATGAATGTGATACAGCATGCAAAATGTGATTTGGCTGAGCAGAGCTTCTGCCATCCAGGTAAACAAAGACTCCCTAGATAACATACACATAGATTGGTTGCTATCCGGTCTTCCTCCTGCATCCAGCGGATTACGTTTCATCCCAGGGATGCACGCTCCAAAACCAATGCGGTTGTTATGCGTCCTCTCCCCTCACCCTGATATACCCGGCTTGAAAGAGCTCATAAATCAGTCTGCCAAAGTATATTGTGCAGGGAAAAATGTGTGCCCCTGGCATTTGAGACAACCCTTTGCCAGCCTATGAGAAGGCCAGTTCCACCCTTTGTGTTCAGTACAGAAAACAAAGAGAATATACAATACACACAATACCTTGTGGGTTGTTTTCAGATTTATTGGCTGCCAATTAACTTTTTCTGTTTCAACTTTTTTTTTTCTATTTAATAGACATCAGAATACTTTTAATCCTTTCATGTGTTCTTTTATTGTATTATTTCAGTTTTACTTGGGAGTTTTATGAGCTTGACCCATACAAAATAGTGCAAAGTAGTGGAACATATGTGTAATTTTTACAAATAAAGTATAAAATGTTTAGTTGTAGATTGTTACTGTGCCTCTCCTAATTTAATACTTTGTAGAGCCATTTTTTTCCCCTACATCTGCAAGACTTCCGATCTCTGTACCAGTTTCTAGAGACTGAAATCTTGCCCTCTATTTGCAAAATAACTCACTCTAAGAATGTACAGTGTTTGCATACAATCGGTTTTTAGGTCTTGTCAAATGTTCTGAGATGAATTTAGGTCTGGACCATGTTGATTTTCACACATTTAGCATGCTAACCAAAAATATTTATTTTTGTTTCTTCTTACTCTTGTTTACTTGGTCTAACAACTTTAAGGCCTTCGCTGAACTGTGGTATTTACACTAAAGTTAAATCACAAGCAGGTGGGCTTTATTTGCTCATAAGACGACTTCTGAAGTCAATGGTTTCAATGGAATTTATTTAGGGGCATTGGAGGAAAGGGGATTGATTGCAAATGACTTCCACACTTTTCATTTGTAAAGTTTTGAAAACTATGCATCACTTTACCCCCTACTTTTCAATTATGCACTTTTTTTGTGTGTGTGTGTAAATCTTTAAAGTGGTTTTATACTTTATGGACCTACCCAAAGCAATAAGATAAAAATATTTCAACGGTTTTGGATGTGACACGAGGAAAGGTTTTAAAGTTAAACAAATAGGAGTACTTTTTCAAGCTTTTGTACCTGAGGAGAATAACTCCGAAGCAGTTTAACGGCAACCGAAGCAAAGCAAAGGAGATGTACGAGATGACTTTGTTTGTAAAAACAGTAGCAGTAGCGTCTTTTATCCATTTTTCTTTTATGTGTTCAGGCCTCACCAGCCCAGTATTGTTACAGTCAACTTAGCCATATGCTATTATTTCCTGCCCACACGTTTTTGTTTTCTGTTTTTTTTGTTCTTGCTCCCAGGGAAGATCAAGATGAGCTAAAAGCTAGTGGGGTTTGTGCTAAACTGAGTCCAATGAACATTGATGTTCTGCAGGCTTGTCACTCAAGTCTCAGGCCTGTCCTTGGAGATAAGACCCATGGCCTACTTAGGCTCATCGATGATGGGATCTATACAAACACTCTCCCACGCAATTTGCTGTCTTTGTCTTTGCTGGTAACTTGGTTTCACCTATTGGTTCCTGGTGTGCAGAACTATCCTTTTGTGTCATATTTGTTCGAAAGTGAAGGTAAACCTTATGAGAAAATATGTGCTGAATAGTAATGTGTCTCTATAACAACACATTTGTTCTGAAGTTTGGGCCTTGAATATTATTTATGATCGGTTCAGAGTTTTCAGTTGGAAATAGAGTATTTGTGCAAATTGCTTTATCGACATAAAACCTTGAAGAAAACCCAGTTGACTTCTTTGGGTAGTTCCTCCTTTTCTTTATGCATCGTATTTAAAGCTAATACTGTTACAAAATATGATGTAGCACATTGAAAACTGCAGTTGCATCTGCTTATTATGCACAGACTAATCTTTTGTCCCTCTTTGTGACATGTCTCCTGACTCCCTGTGTCCTGACAGCTAAGGTCAAGTCTAAGTGTTCTTCCACATTCTTCGCCTGTGCTAATGGTGTCCACTGCATCATCGGAAGGTTCCGCTGCAATGGCTTCAGCGACTGTCCTGATGGGAGCGACGAGGAGAACTGCAGTGAGTCTCTCACACCGTGGTGTCCAAGCTGAGCAACACTCATATGCTTCCAGGCCACAGTCACAAAACGTTATAGTTTGTTCCAAGATGTACCAGCCTCGGGTCATTACACTTTATGGATGAGAGAGGGCCAAAAATGTGGCTTCCTGGCATGAGATATTTAAATAGCACTCCTGCAAAATCTGAACAGAGTGTTAAGGTGGTGATAGACACTAGTAATTTTCCAGGAAGGTTTAATTTCACTTTGTGAAGGGAGTTCTGGACCGGATGGCAAGATTGAGTGATGAACTTCATTTGTAATTCCATGTCAGAGATCATTTGGATTTTGTGTAAATGTGAAAAAAAATTACAGCGTATTGGACAGTAAAGTTTATAGGGTTTATTTATTGGACCAGGTCTATGTTTACCAAAATACTACATCACCATTTTGATGTTTTTAATGCATAGCTTATGACTGTCAACGATGAAGGAATTATTAACTTATTTATTAAACAGGATTGCTTAACCATCAGATATTCCAACTTTTGCAAAAAAAGGGTCAAATATGCAGCTATTATTAAAGCTTGTCATTTGCTGTCATTAATAAAAGCAAAACTCAAGATTTTTGCAGCCTTTGACCATTATAATTTGTTTGATTTAATAATTAAAAATATGTCTGTATTAATTTTATTATGGACTCTCTTTTGACATTCAGTTTTCTTTTGAACATTTATACAAGCTTTCAGGAGATAATAAATATTTATCTTTATCTTATTCTTGCAAACTGTCTGGAATACTTAAGTTTAAACATTGGTGACGTTTCCTTTAAAAACTGCAAAATGTCACATTTTAATTGTGCAAACTGTGTTACTGGTGCGACGTACCATTTGCCTGGCAGCACAATTGAAGAAGCAGATCTCTCTTTTGAAGGACTTTCTACTTAGCTTAAATTTACTACTGCGCATTGTAATAAAACAAAAATATGGCAAGAATTTTACGCACTCTACTGTACACTGGCTTTTAAATTAATCAAAATCAACAAGACAGACTCACTCGTCTTCCAGGAGGTCAAGGTGTCCTCACAGTTGAACACGTTGTGGGGTTGAGGGAATGCTATGTGAGCTGAGCGCAAAACACATTTCCAGGAAGAAACTGTTCTTTTTAGGTTACAGACTTAAATCCAGAGTTGAATCTTTTGAACTGTCAGGTGAAACTTCTGAAGCAGAACAAAGATAAAGTCTTCAGTTAAGAACATTTGAATTTGTAATACTCGTAGTTTCTTGAGGCACTTCCCAGAGGATCACCTTTTCACTTGTCACTTCCAGGTCAAATTAAGACAGGCAAAGAGGAATCTGACAACATTTTGTCATATTAGGGTATGTATCGCTTAATCCTTTAGACATAATAGTTTAAAACTATTATTTAGAAATCTGACCTGTTCTGACAGTAAGTTTGCTATAAGGAAGTAAAAACCAAGCATTCATGAACAACTGTATATTTACACATTTCTCATAATGTTTCTCCAATGTCTTTATTCCTTCTTTTCAGTCCTCCTTCATTTTATTTATACTTTTCTGCATATGAATAATGAGATATTGCTAACAAAAGTTACATGAAACCCCGGCTTAGATGTTATTTTTGAGTATAACAGAAGTCTATAAAAAAAAAAAAAAATCCTGGTTAAAAATTAGGAATTTTTGTGCTCTACATTTACTTTTCTGTTAACCTATATTCCTTAAGTATTTCTATATTGTTTTTCTCATGTCCCATATATTAGTAGCATCTTGGATTAACACTTCCAATTCTGTCACCTTTATTTGAAAAATGTTAAGTCATCTCCACTCGTTTGAATTGCATGACTTCCAATAAAGTTTCTTCTCACAGAACCACTTCACTGCTTTCCCTCTGAGAATCACTTCTATCACTCGCCATTGTCAAAGACAATGTTCTTTGCCTGCAGGGCTCACACTCAACTATCTAATCGTTCCATTTAAAGGAGCTTTGCTCCAAGCTCACAGCAAATACTGCGTCACAACTGTGTAATTGTGTGAAAATTCTCAGAAGGTGATTATGCCTCCTTTTAAGAAGTAGAACGAAGACAAAAGAGCTGAACACGAGTTAAAAAGGAGTTTGTGGCTCCGAGTGGGATTTGGCATGTTTTTATTCTTTTCTCTGGATTTAGGCTTTTATCAGAACTTACCAATCATATCATGAACAAGTTTATATTTTTTCTTATCATTTCCAAAAAGAAAATGCCCTTCAAATATCCTCTTCCATCCATTATCTGAACACGCTTATCCTTTCAAAGTCCCGGGGGGAGAAGGGGGGGAGCCCATCTCCAGTGGTCATCTGGTGAGGCTCAGTTTTATTTTATTTTAGCAGAATGAAATGGTGCAGGTTGGGAAGAAGATGAAAATAAAACAACTGCAGTTCTGCCTGTAGATTATTTGTTTATATTTAACGTGATTCAGGTCTCTCATAAATTGTTTCCTGTTTTTCAGTTGTAGCCAGTTTGAATAGAAACTTTGTCTCTAAGACCTTCTGTGAGCAAATTGCTGACCTTTGACACTTGTCCTTTCTCAACCACAGCAGGCAACCCCCTCGTGTGCTCAGAGACTCGCTTCAAGTGTCGAAACGGCCGTTGTGTAGACCGAAGCTTTCTCTGCAATGGCCAGAACAACTGTATGGACAACAGTGATGAGGAGCTCTGCCTGACCACAGCAGGTAGGTCTTCAAATCTCCCAAGAAAACATTCATGCACAGGAAATATGAATGCAAATCTTTGTTTTTGTTTTTTTGTTTTTTTTAACAAAACTCGAAATGGAAACTCTACCGTGGCAAAGATAATCAGCCTAAGATTGATGGTTAATGAAGAACTCTGAACTGCAGCAGGAAAAAGGCTGAAACTATTTTCAAGCAATTTGATTTGCCTTTTTCTTCAAACACACTGGTTATGCCTGATTAGGAACATACTGTACCTTGCAAAGCTATTTATAATCCTTAAACCTTTTTTACATTTTGTCATCTTACAACCGCAGACGTAATGGGATTTAGTGTAGAAGCAGAATTAAACTATATGTGGTTTTCAATATTCCTTGCTAGCATCTGGAAGGGTGCCATGCATATGCATTCACGCCCTTGTGCTATGATACCCTTGAAAAAAATGTTATGTACACAGAAATCTCTATGCAATTTATTCTCTGTGAATATGGCTTTTTTCTAGGGCGTCCCAGAGGTTTACTAGAAAACATTAGTAAAAACAAAAGTACCATCAGGACAAATGAGCACTGTGGACAGATCAAGAATAAATCTGAGGAGAAGCAATACACCAAGCTTGTATCTTCCACTGTCTAAAAATAAAAAGTGAAAAACAACTGCTAATTTTGCAGGACAAATATAGACCATTTATTAGAAAAACAGCCAGGAGGCCAGGTTGCCTTTGGGGGAGCTGTTGAGATATAAAGCTCATGTTGGAAAATCTGTTCACAGGATAAGTCATATTCACTGAACACAGAAATTTGAGCTTTATAGAAAAGTGGAAAAAGGGAAACCATTGGACCAAATGTCTGCAGTTTGCCATAAGTCATATACTGTAAGACAATGGCAAACATAGGAAGGGGCTCTGATCACATAAAACCAATATATGTCATAGTTTCTGTTTCATAGTCAATCTATAATCATTTTTCATAATTCATGAGTGGCAACACTCCAAATGGAAATTGTGATAGTAGGTGTATGTGTAACATTCACTCAGGTTGTATTTGACTTAAATATCTTAGGTGGACTTCTGCAGCAGAATGCAAAGTAGATGGCAGTAAAGACTCTGTGTAAACTATAGATACAATGGTTAAATTGAGAAGGCGCTGTTCACGGACATCCAATGTTCCCATCATCTGGATCCCAGTTACATCTTATTGAAAATGTGTCATACGGTCTGTGTTTCAAAGTAATTAACATCACCTCCATGCAAGGAAAGACATATGCTGCTTTCATTTTGCCCTTTTGTCCATGAAGAACCGTTTTCATTTTCCTGGCTCAACTCAAACACACACATATGGTAGTACACACACTGATGGGTAAGATACCTGCTGCTATAGGTAGCCATCCAATTGGCTGGGATCTCCATTTTCTTCTGGCATTAAAAGGAACAGCTGTCGACTACTGTCAACTCTTCAGCTGTACTTTCTGCCAGTAGTCTAACCTTGACGTACATATATCCACAAGCAGCCAAATGTGGAAATAAAAATCGTCCTCCTCCGTCATGGTGAGGCTGTCAGGCTGATTACTAGTAGCTTGTAAATATGTTTTCAAAAAGAACAAAACAGAACATGTCTATAAGGTATCAGCAATCACAGCTAGAAATGTAACATTAATATTCAACTGAAATGTGATAAAAATGCCAAAAAAAAGAACAGTTTCTGATAGTTAGGATATATTGTTGTGACAATAATTAAACAAACAGTAACGTTATGAAGCTAATAAGACATAAGCAAGGCATCCAGCACCATTTAAATTAGGTTTTACTTGCCCTCGCTAATTACTTTAAGACATTTTTTTTTCTCCCTAATATTGGAGTTGTTCAGTTTCCTCTGCCTTTGTGGGAGAGAGACACCCAAAGTGAGTCAATGCCTCATTACCAGCCAATGCTTTTCAGACTCCACAACTCAATACGGAGACGCAAAATGCTGAATGGAGCTTTATTGTGATGAAGGAGTATTGATCAGTATCTGTGTCCACTGCACTCCATTTCCTTATTTACAAGTGAAGAATGAAAACTGCAGCGTATTCTTCAGCTGCAAATCTCCGTACTGTAGCATCCAAAGGAACTGTGAGAGGCATTCCTCTCAGCAAGTACTAAAGCTGTCCAGCTTTCTTCAAAGCTACAAAGCTTTGGAGAAACCTTTATGTTACAGGGGCAAAACAAAGCAAATTATCAAAGCAAACACACAATGTTTTATTTATGCTCTGTAATAATGTGTTTTATTAGGTCCTTTGCAAAAAATTTACTCAAGTAGTTTCTGCTGAATTTGGCCGAGTTGATCAGACATTTTCGATTTTTGAAACATAATCTCTTTAAATGGCTGCGGCTCATACATGACACACATTGCAGGTTCTGAATACAATTATGTCACCCACTTTTCAAAACATATCTAGCAATGCAGAAACTTCTCTTCCTTCGAGCAAATTTATTTCAAAGTGTGCAGTAAGACGAGCCTTTGGCAGAACAGTGTCATCTCCAAAATATGGTACATCGCCTTGCCAAACTATCCATAGCCCTTCTTTTTTATTTTTCACATGTTGTCATGCTGCAGCCACAAATGCTTTTGATTAGATTTTGCATAATGGACAAACTCAAAGTAGCAAATAATTTTAATCCAGAATGATGAAATGGTTAAATGGAGGTTTGGGAATTTGGAAGTGTGGTGTGCATTTTTGATCCACTTCGATGTCCCAAAATAAAAATCAGTGCAACGTATTGGATTAATT